TCATCTCCAGCCACTGGTTGAGTTCTGCCTCCTGCCACTAAATTCAAGAGTTAGCTCCCAGTCGTTTCTCTCTGTGATTGCGATCATGTCATATCTTAAGGCAGGGCCACTTAACTTTGGAAGCCCTGGGGACCACAATGATGCTCACAGCACATGCCAGCGGCCACAATGTAAGTGTGGCTGTATATACAGGCAGTCCCCGGGTTACGTACAAGATAGGGACTGTAGGTTTGTTCTTAAGTTGAATTTGTATGTAAGTCAGAACTGGTACATATTGTAGGGGAAACTCTAGCCAAACATTTCTCCAGAGCTCAGTTTTATTCTCCCACACCTCACTTCCCTCAGTCCTTTATTCTCAAGCGGAGGTGTCTGCTGAGAAAAGCCGCTCCGCATCTCCCTGGTCTGCTGGGGGGAGGGGGGCGCTAGCTTCGCGTCTCCCTGGTCTGCTGGGGGGAAGCAGCTAGTGCGGGGTTGCCTCACCCCGTTTGTAAGTAGGGATCCGATGTAAGTTGGATCCACGTAACCCGGGGACTGCCTGTACATGTAAATATATGTGCAAATATATGCAAATGGATTCTTTCACACTGACCAGGCATGAATACAAAGATGAAGGCAAGACTGTACAACACGCAGGCCCCATTTAAGTCAGTTCTACTGATATGAATAAAATGCAGTAGTTACCCAATTTCCACCCATGTGACAGCACTTTTAAAGAGCAATGACAGTTCAGGAATGTAACCACTAAAACGCACAGCAACAGAAGACCATTGAATTGACTCCTTTTTTGTTTTGGCTTCACAACAGTCCAGAAATTTAACTGCTAACACACAGATCAACCCAAACTGCACCGTAAACCTGATCTGCAACACGGGCCGCAAAGAAATGGGTCACATGTTCAATAGCCCTGTCTTAAGGTGAACAAACTGCGCCCTCAGTCTTTCACCCGAAGGCATTTCTGGCTAACCTCTGCACTCTCTCCAATTTTTCAACGTCCTTTAAAAGATGTCATCCCCACAACTGGCCGTAACACTCACTGCAGTTGTGTATTGGTGCATTCTCAGCTGGAATCAGCTACCGGTAGAAGCTGGGGGGCAGACAAATTTGCTGCAGGTCTGGAGGAACAGGTGGGACTGAAGGTGGCCACCCCTCAGCGCCACACCGCAGCCCCTCCTCCTCGCCCCTCAAACCTCTGGAGCGTGCCTCAGGGTGCTCTAGGAGCAATTTATAAAGGACCAGGGGCTCCAGCCACCATCACTGCCACAGTCGCAGTGGCAGCAGCCAGAAGCTGCTGGTCCTCTTGAATCACCAGACCCTGGGTGTGATGACGTGTCAAGGTTCCCCCCGATCCTGCACCCCCGTAGCAGCCAGAACAGACTCTGCCAGCCAGTAGAATAGAGAAGGGTTTATTGCTTCTCCAGGATACAGCACAGCATAGACGTGATGTGGCTACAGGAGTCAGGGCCAGACAGCCTCAGACCCCTGGGGTGGGGTGCCTAGGCCACTAGACTCCCAACCCTCTGCTTAGTCTAACCCCTTCATGGTTTCCCTCTAGCCGAAACTGCCTTGCTTCCAGACTCTGCCCTCCCCCCACCTTCCCCCAGCCAGGTGTTTGTTTCCATCTCCCTTCCTTTGTCTCTCCCCCTGGGAAGATCTTTGTTAACTACTCAGGCTGGGACTAGGTGTCTGGGCTAATACACATGTGGGTGAGTCAATGGAAATCACACAGCACAGCACAAGGGAACCCCGGGTTACAGAGTAGACAGCAACCCCACTACTCTACACCGGGACAACTGGCCCTCTGCCAGTCACACCCACCCCCTTGCTGCGAGTGCTGTGGTGCGAGGTAGTGGAGGCCGTGCATGCTGGGGGTCGGGGTGGTCCAGGTCACATCTCTATAAACTAAACTCTCGAGTCCAGACCACAGATGTTCCAGGATCAGAGAGCCCCGATTTGGTGCGGTGAGGATGGGGGGCCAAGAGCCCAGTGCAATGTGGGGAGGCAGGTGTGATGCTGGTCTCCAGGGGGCAGGGCCAGGAAGCATGGTAGGTGGGTGGGGGGCAGGAGGGAGCCAGAAATGACCTCCCTTGGTCTGGCAAAATCCCTCATCCGGGACCAGTCAGGTCCCAAGGGTGCGGGACCAGGCAGGTCCAACCCATAGCGAGTGGCAGAAAGATGCTCATTGCCACGGCAACCGATGCTGGTCTCCAGGGGGCAGCCCCAGGAAGCATGGTAGGTGGGTGGGGGGCAGGAGGGAGCCAGAAATGACCTCCCTTGGTCTGGCAAAATCCCTCATCCGGGACCAGTCAGGTCCCAAGGGTGCGGGACCAGGCAGGTCCAACCCATAGCGAGTGGCAGAAAGATGCTCATTGCCACGGCAACCCCATGGACCGCAGGAGGCCAGAGACCGATGGCAGGGCCAGGCAGCCCCCACGTGTAGGCAGAGCCTCCGCCACCCTCTCCTTGCCGTGCCCGAGGGGGTGTGAGACCCAGAAACTGCCTCAAACTCTCTGGCCACGACCACCCGGGAGACCCAGAGCCGGACACCAAGTGGCCGGGGGAGACCGGGCCAAGCTATAGAGAAAGCTGCTGCTGGATCGGGGAAGCCGGGGCCTGGCTCATGGACAGGGGATAAGGGAGCTGCCTGCGCAGACCCCCCCCAGGCAGCTGGTCCGAGGGGGTGGGTCTGTCCCACGGTGGCAGCGTTGGTCCGGCCTGTCCTGCCTCGCAAGGGACTTTGTCCCCAGCAACGCGCCCTCAGCGCTTGCCTTGTCCCCAAGGCTGGGTCGGGGGGAGCTGTGGAAACCCCATTTCCCTCCACAGTGTGTTTACATGGGAGAGGGATTCAGGGGCCTGGGATCTCCTGCTCCTCCCCTCTGCACCAGCCAGTTCAGACGCCTCCCTTAGTCCCTCCCCGTCCTCAGCCAGCGCCTCTCACAACAACCCCAAACGGTTTCCTGTTCTGGGCAGAGCCATTTACAAGAAATCACGTGTCTCCCGCGCTGTTTCCCCTCCTCCACACCCAGCTGCTGCTGCCTGTGGGGCCTTTCCAGGGTGTGCAGAGCAAAGGGATTGCAGATTGGGACATGACTCCCCCTTCCTGTGCTGTGTGGGCTGGCGGGGAGCCTGTCCCCCTGAGGGGAGGAGATACCCCCTGTGCCCAGGGACGGGGTTTTCAACCCTTTTCTTTCTGAGCCGCCCCCTTCCCTCACACGCTGCACAAACCCCAGGGTGGGCGCTGGGCGACAGACACCAGATGGGCGGGTGGGAAACGAGACTTTAGCCCTGCAGGGCTGGGGGCTTCTTCCCGATGCTCAGAGCTTCCCCCTGCCCTGGGCTTCAGCCTT